TTTACAACACATTATACATTTTCTGTAATGTATTAATCTCTTACGTTTACTAATTAGCTGTAAGTTAATTTCATTTCTTCTTCTATCCTTTAAAACAGCTGCATTCACAAGTTGTGATCTGCTCACCATTCTCCTACATCATTTTCTGTTGAGAAACCGAAATAAAAATACAGAGGAAAATGAAATGGCCAGAAATAGTGTTATGTTTAATCTCTGTGTGTATTGTGTATCCTGTATTGTTAGAGCAGTGACAATGTGGTGCTCTATTCCCCAGGAAGGGGAAGGCTGGGAGTGTTTATAGATGCAGAAAGTCAACATAATATTCAGGGCAATGGGAATTCTGTAGTTCAATCCAGGGATTTATCCCATCACCAGTATGGGGGCAGGAAGGAATTTTATTTTACCTTCTCAGAGAAAAGTGTCTTATGCTTGTGGAGGTTGTTTATTTTCACGTTCCTCTGGATCAAACACACAAAACTCAGAGGGTGAACTTGATGGTGATTATAAACTATGTAAATAACAATCTATGGTGGCACTTTTAGGGAAGGGCCTTGAATAGGCCACACAACAGGAAGTTAGAGGAAACCCCCCAATTGCCTGGAATCCCCTCTTAAGTTGTCCTCAGAACAGGTGTCCCCATTGGGCGATTTCCCTTCCCCTGTTCTTCTGGGAACAACTCTTAACATTTTGGATTTCCCCTCACTCTCTTTGTCAATGACAGCGGTCACCAGTACCAGTAGAGGGGTAAATCTCTCCATTGGGGACTCAGACAGCAATAAAAACCTCACCAAGCATCCAAAACTAAAAAAAAGCCTATAGATTCAGTGGACACTGCCATATAGGAGGCATAGTGCGATCCTTCACATATATGTGCACAGAGGGTTATGATTAAGGTCCCTTGGTGTACTGAAACAAGTTGGCCATCTTTGCAGCTAGTTTTATGCCTTTTCAATAGAGACGCCATTAGGAGGATTTCTACGAGTGTCGGCTCTTCTACTTCACATTGTACAGAGAGTTTGGTTGGTAAGACTGTTGCAGTCCCATGTGTGGCGCTCTGTATTTCATCACCAATTGTATTCTGCTTTGCATGCACTATAATAACTAGATTTGATGGAACAATCTCCATATAAATTATTAATCACAGTAGTAGCGCTAATATGACGATTCAAACAATTAAATCTTCTCTAGAAATCTTCACACCCTCCACATAGACACACTCGAGCATTGCGCTCTTCCTTGCGGCTGACTAGCACCGTATTGCGTCATCACATCGACCTGCCGGGGTTGAGGGTTGTGCACAACCCCTCAGGTTTTCTAGACAGACTTACTCTCCCATGATAGATTCTTTGTAATATTCTTGCTTATTAAAACCTTTCATTGTGTAATCTTTGCCTGCGACTCTTTCCTTTGAATGGGGATGGAGCCAGGTCTGGTGGGAATACAGGCAGTCTGTGCTGGAGATAGAGAGATCTACATCTCTGGTGACCGGTCTGCCAAACATTATGGATCAGAAAAGCAGTCTTAGTAAAGAAGACTTCACAGTGTGAGGAGAGGGTACAACGTACCTAACATACTATAGTGAAATTACATCTTGTTATCATGAATGTCTTATTGCTCACCTAGGCACATAGACTTTATCGGTCCTATTCAGAACAAAGAGAAATGAGTAACATTTAGAAATTAATATCAATCAGTTTATCGTTTTCTGATCCAAGTACTGCTGTAACCTGAGTTTATGAGACTGCAAACCATAGTTTCTTGCACCACTGATTTGAATGAACCTGTGTAATGCATTGTATTTCAGGGAAGCATGACGGGCCTATATATAGATAGATATATATATATATACCCGTCATGCTTCCCTGAAATACAATGCATTACACATGTTGCATATCGCCGCAAACGGAGTGAGAGCAATCATTTTAGAGCCATTAAGGCTGGGTTCACACCTGGGCGTTTTACAGCGCTGATCGACGCGCTGTAAAACGCCCTGCAAGTGAAATCCCATTATTTCTTATGGGCATGGTTCTCACTTGGGCGTATTTCAGCGTGTCGGAACGTGCTGAAAAACGCCCTATGCCCAAAGAAGTACAGGAGCTTCTTTGGGGCGTATTTCCGCGCGTATCCATAAGGATACAGCCGGATAGCCCTCGTAAATGCACGTTTGACGTGCGTTTTGTGGGCTGCAAATCGCGGTTAAATTGTTTTCTGGCCAGCATCTTCAGTTTTATCACTCGATCTCCATCACTTGCTAGTGGTGGAACTGACCTTCACTGTAGGTAAGACATTGCAGGGTTAATCGTTTCTGTGCAGAGCTGTCTGGCTGGAGAACTGGAGAAAATACTTGATCAGTGTCTGTATAAGTGGCAGAGAGAACAGGGAGCATGGTGAAGTAGTTTGCGTGGGCTTAAATATGTTCCACAGGAAATTATGGAGAAGACAATTTCCTAACTGTAAGCTGATAGAATATGTGCTCAGACCATGGAAGGAATAGGATGGGGGTACACAGTTGGGAACTTCTAATGGCATACATTTCATCCAGTGAAGAGAATCCTCGGAAGCAGTGGTAGCATTAATAGGTACATTGTATGCATTTCCAACAAACCATCTGTTCCACAATGTGTAGCTGATGCATGACATAGGACAAGATGGCAGTATGTAATAGTTTGTAGTCCTGGAAGGTATGCCATCATCACTAAGTGTACACAGCAACCATGATTCCCCCATATAACATTGTAAGTTGTATTCTAATTAGTATGACAGATGAGACTCCCCAGCACAACAATGTCTAGAGCTGAGCAACTTCTGTATGTCACGTTACTTTCTTCCTGGATTCTTCTCTCCAATTCCCTGGGCACTGTACTGCACAGAAGCCTATTCACCTTCTTATCTGCACTTGTTAATTCATGCCTTGCAGAGTGCCTGTGAGGAAAACAAGGTCCTAGGAGCACATAGGCCTTTGTTAATCAAGTCTGTATTGACTTTGTGTACCTGTTCACTCAACTCGTCTAACTAGACCAGAACACAGTGAGGAACATACTCACTCAACGTTCATAAAGAGGCAACGCAATCCTGGTACAAACCTGGACAGTTCACACTGAGCAAAGGCTAAAGGAATGCAAAATCACTGCTTACCATTACTGAGATACACATATTAGAATAGGTAGTAGATCCAGATATAAAGGCAGCTGATATCACATACAGATGGTAACTTTCCTGTGCAAGGATCATTGGCCTGGCCCAAACATGAAACAACTCGCCAGTTACAAGATGGCTATGCAGAACACAGTACAAACTCCCCTCGTTCCACTCCTCACTGCCTCAATGTTCGGATGAGCGAGCTCCTGCTAATGATAGGCTGCAGCTTGTTACTTACCAAGAATGGCTCGCTCATCCTGTGAGGGAGCAAAGCATGAAACCAGACAAATAATAACTGCTTTGCATCATGATCCTGTTACTGGTGAGATGTCACCAGATCACTACTTTGACATGGCTCTTAGACCCCATTCACACTGAGCGACATGGAGAACCCCGTGTTTTTCTGCGCCATTTCGCGCTGAGTGGCATTGAGCTACATCGCGCAAGATTGGGCGACATTGCCAGTGACATTTGTCGCGCTACGTAGTGCGACTTTTGGGAGGGACTTCGACGCAGCGGTCTTGATGTGACATCATTCTTTCCTTCCATATTGCTGTGTAAAAGTAACCCTTCTGTAGTGCGATATCGCACGACTATCGCCAGAAATGCGTGACTTTGCGCGACACCATTGAGTCTATGGGGCCAAATCGTGCGACATCCGCCGAAAGATAGATCATGTTCGAGCAACAACCGACATTGAGCTGTGAACAGCTCCATTGAAATACATTGGACAAGCTTACATTGAGCAACATTGCGTTAAAGGAACAATAGGTGGGCTGGGTCAAATATATATATATTATACATTGTGTCTTAGCAGTTGGAACAAATAAGATTTTGCACCCATGTTATATTCCACATTTTAGGCCTGAAAATGACTTAAAACCCCCAAACATTACAAGCCACCCATGTGATAGCAGATGGTGGTGACAGGTACTCTTTAAGGTGATGCGGGGGGTCCAAAAGACCCCCAGTGTCACCTTTACACTCCACATAAGCTATTGAAATGCAGATCACACTTCAATAGCTTATAGCTGGGCTTCAGACACCCAGCACTGACAGCCCAGGGACCGGAAGTGATGCAACGTTAGTTATTGTAAAGCCGACAGACGGCTTTACAAGTTTAAACAGAGTTCCGGCACCAAAAGCCGCAGAGTCTGTTTATACAGCCCCGATGCTGGCGATGTACACTGTACGTCGTCAGTCACAAAGGGGTTAAACATGAGTTTAAAAAACTTTATAAACAGCGTATGCAAATGCTAAAAACACTGGTGAATAGATCTTCAGTTTGCTGAATTGTGTCGTGAAATTTTATAAAGGGGACTCTTCATTTGTAAAATCTTTCGTCTTACTTTTTCATACTAAGTGTCTGTGTTGCTCATAGCAACCAAATTGCAGCAGTTTTTCATGTGCAGACTTGGGAGTGGGCTGCATGATGCCAGTCATTGGTATGGGTATAATGATGGTTTCCAACATGCACCTCTCTGGTAACATGGCTGTGACCTATAGATCTGTGTATTCTATGTAGGGGATTATGCATGTTGGTGTATATATTCATATCCCCATGTTTTGAATATATGTATGTGTTCATACTAATGTCTTACTGCGTGTGATCATGTGTGCATATGACTGTTGTATGATTAGGAAAAGTGTGCCAAACCTTTTTTAGTTAGTAATCGTGAATCAGGGATATGGTTCAGCAGCATTGTATTGGTAGGTCATCAGTTTGCTCTCCTCTCCGGTAACACGAGTTGATGGGTTGGAAGTTTACATGATGTACTAGAAATCTAGATGGCGGTTTACATAAATGACATTATAAATATCCGGGTATTTCTCTGCCATGGATGACATTTCCTCTCTTCTAGCTGGAGAAGAAGCAGGTGGTTCCACCCTTCAAGCCCCAGATCGCAGATGATTACGGTTTGGACAACTTTGACACACAGTTTACCAGTGAGCCCGTGCAACTTACACCAGACGATGAGTACGTAACATGAAACATAAAGTGTTTATATACAGAGTTGTTTATAGAAAAGATTCCAGATGAAAAAAACAAATGTACAATAAAAGAAGAGTGCAGTAATTTTGAATAGATTTTATGTGTTCATTTTTATACTTGTCCTTCATTAAATCCTCCCCCCTCAGCGCAGAATGCAATACCTCCCTGTTCCATTGATTTTCACGGTGCATAGCCCTCTCTCCCAAAAAAATGCCCCCTGTGGCTTCTCTTCATATCAGACAGAATTGCTGCTTTACAAACAAAACAAAAAAAACAACCTGTGCTTCCCTCTGCCAGATTCAGAACTCTGAGGCCAGAAGAGCATAATAATAATGGATGTTCCTGGGGGAAAAGATATAAATAAAACACTTTATTAAGCTCAGTGGGGTGACTGATCAGTCACATGACCATCTCCCCTCCAAACAAGGAGCTCTTTCTGCTCTGTTAAGCATAGAGAACTTGGTGGGTCTTTTCCAACTTGATGTATAAAAGTAATGGGGATATACAATATCCTTTTTGTAAACGTTTTACACTTAAAAAGAAGTTTTAAGATTAAATGGACAAAAAAAGTATTTAAAGCCCCCTTTTTAACATTAAAGTTCCAATTTAAACTGAAATGTTGGGACAACTGTGACTAGAACCAGCTCATTGTGTCAACTGTCTTCATAAATTGTACATTTCATATCATTGTGTGTTAATTGCCCTTGATATAAACAATGTAGTAGCTGACTAAGACATTGTACTGTAGCTGCAGGATGCACATTACAAAGCTGATTTCCACCTGTCCCTTTTCTCTTCACAGAGATGTCATTAAACGAATAGACCAATCAGAGTTCGAAGGATTTGAATACATTAACCCGTTGTTGCTGTCAACGGAAGAGACAGTATGAAGGACCGCAATGTCTATGAAGAATAAAAACAAAACATGTGATTGATCCCAAACTTGTATCCTTAACTACAGTATATGCATGCGAGGCTGGAAAACTGACACCAGGTTCTTAATACTGAGCAGTACCACAGGATTAGCTGCTGAGGGGGGAGACCTCTCCCCCTGGGTAGTAGCTGCTCTTTTAGAGCAAGAAACGGTTCTCCGGCTGAGTTACACAAGGGATTCACTTTTTGTGCCTGCCTCTTTGAAGGGTCTACAATGTACGATAACTCCATCCGAGGGCGCCTGTGTGGAAGAACTCTTTATTTCAGGCAATCACATAAGCAAGCCGCTTCCATTAGTGCATTAGACGCCGTGTGCTGCAATCCTGCAAACCAAGATGAGAGGAGACCGAGGAAAGGTCCCGGTGCAAACTGCTTACGTCCTCCTCCCAGAATCACCTACATGGCACTTGTAAATCGGGGTATTAAGGCAAGCTGTGTTCCTGCTGGTTACATACATGTTTTTCATTGACTGGAAACCTAAGATATTAATTGCACTGGAATTATTATTATTATAAGGGTAGATAAATATTTGGATTGGTAAACAAAAGCTAACACAGCAATATTGCACTTAAAGCTAAATTCTAGAATGTTTGGGAACGGTAAAGGCAATACAAACCAAAACAATTTGTTGGGAGGAAGAAAAACAAAATTGCACATTTGAATGGCTTTCCTAAATTCCATAATGTCATGTGCCTAACTTTAAGCTTGTAATGTATGACATAATGCTAATTGGGTAAGCTTTAACGCAGTATTCCAAGCAGACCAAGCCGCCCAGCCATAGATCCTGACCACACATCCCTTAGCCTTAACAGGTGGAATTGTATCCTTCCTTCACTTCTAATGCATAGCCCGCGTCCTTGTCAAGCACATTGTTTTCTAGTCGTTGGCTGATTTGTTTTGTAGCTGCTGATGATGGGAGGAAGATGTGACCTCCAATCCGTTACATATCTTGTATGTCACGTTACACAGGACATTCCAATCATGAGAGACTTGAGGTTGATTTCATCGTTATTGGGCTTTCCGTTAAAGCAGTGCCAAGGGACAACTTGAACTTTGGTAGACCCTTTTACAAACTGCTGTTCAGGTAAATGGAGCTCTATCATGCGCAATACACATGCTGTGTGACAGAACCATTTGTTAGAACAGTACAGGGACTTGGGCAGAGAATGTTTGCAGATGGTCCACGAACATACTCGGCTGAAGTGATGGCAGTGAGTCAAATTCAAGTCAAGTTTATTTTTTTTTAAAAGGAAAGTCGCTTTTGTGACCTTCTCCACTGAACTTAAACCGGCTTCAATTCACCTTTGATGAGGAGAAGTTCTGATTTCAGTTTATGAATATGCATTGGCCAGTGAGGGCTGTAAGAGATCCAGACTTGCCCAATAGCAGCTATGAAGCAGAGCTGTTGCCTGAAGAGGTCCTGATCACAGATGTTCAGACTTCTGGGAGCATCCATGGTACTGGTACTTTACTGGCAACTATGCCATCTCTGAGCAGGGTTTAGACCTTACACAGTCCTCAGCAGAACATCCACACAAAGAATAGATTGAAGTAATTGTATACTGTACAAGAACGTCTCAACTGAAGGTTGTATTTATGCGATGATCACTTGTTTCTTCAAAGCTTTGTGCCATCATAACTTCATGTAGACCGCAAACAAAAACATTCCTAGCCAAAGCAAATCTTAAGTCATCAATGATACAGGCAAGATGTTGACGTTATATTCCCACCCCAAAAAAACTGTACTGTGAAGTATAAAAATGAAGGCATTTAAAGGAGGCCTTGCCCACAGCAAAGGTGACATTAGGGATGGGTAAGGAAATGAAAACAAAGCATGTGATTGGTTACTATGAAATCAAGCTTCCACTTGCTTCATATTTTGTCAAATCAATGCGGATTTCTTTGTATGCAACAGATTATTAACCTGCTTTTCAGAAATTGACAAAGCCTTCAGAGTTATCAATAGACATCTAAAGTGAAATGATTTAGGCTTTGAATGGTCTTGTCCATGTGTCACCCATTTCTGTACATATGAGATGGCTTTCGCTGGCCACACAGACTTTGCTTTATGCGTGTCACCATGTGTCAGGTCTACACCAGCTATGTAGTATGGAGCCCTACCTACACATTCCAATAGAACTACACATAGCCAAGTCGACTGTCAACCTCCAGCCATGTTGGTGAACTTTGCTGAACCGACAAAAAGAACCATTTCCTACTAGCAACTTTATTGCAGAGTTTTCTAACATGGTTGTAGCTGGATACCTGACCACACTGCTCATCTCTGCTGCTACACATTGTTGGTGTGCCATGATCATTACCAGTTGCATTGGATAACATGAGTAGCTACTGAAACGTGATGTTTTTTGTAAAAAGTCAATCACTTCCTTGAAATTTCTGTGACAAAGGCAAACAAACAGTAAGGCGAGGATGCTGTAGCTGCTACAAAATCAGCAGTGTGACATTGTCCTTACTGTGTATATGTGCGCCCAGCAGTAGGATGTAACAGAATTGTATGCAGAGCTATACATGTGGTATTATCACCTAGCACTAAATCACTTAAGACTCCTCCATAATGAAGAGACGGATTGGCTGCTACAGGTTACTGCACATTGCTTTTTGCCTTATTACATTTAGTGAATAGGTCAGCCTACCTTGAATAGATTACTAGCAAATGTTCCCCATTTCAGTTCTTGCTACCAATGTGTTCATGGCTGCATGAGATAAAGGGACCTTGAGCTGTAAACTGCTGCTAGACTTTCCCAAACTCTTTCCAAAAAGATATCTTTCTTGTATAGATTACCCAGTAAAGGGAACAGGAATGATTATACGAACACTGACAAGCCTGTAAAACATGCATGCGCCAGGATCATCATCCTTTTCCTGCCTTTACTACCTCGTGATCCACTGATCTGGAAGCATGCTCAGGCAACATGCTCACAAATGGATCTCCTGGTGATGATGACAGCCCCAGAACGGCTCTCATCTAACTTTTCTGGCATACGTTAATGTTCGCATTCTGTCTATAGCAATCACATCTACTGTTAAAGCAACCCTGTTCCATGATTCAGAAGTTGAAAAGAAGAGATGTGATACCCGTCTTGCTATCTTCACTCCAAAGGTTACAATGCCGGATGAATCCTCTTCATCCGACACACTTCTGGGAGTTTAAGATTCCTAATGCCCCGCTGAGCACTGTGGTTCCTTTTGTGGGCCCCATACAGGTTCTGCAGTGACATTGTAGAAGGAACCAAAGGGCTCGGCCGGGGTCCAGGAAGTGTGTCAGAGAACGATAATTCTCTGGGCACTATAGCACTTGGAGAGAATAAAGATTGGCAGTGTGGGGTGCAGAATGTCTCCTTTATAGGGGGGAAACCTTCTTTTATACATGATCATTTTGCAGTAGGGCCACTTTCATACACAGTCCTAAATCATGCTGATAAAAATGGCCTATTTGAGAAACATCCCATCCCCCCCCCCACCCTATAAAATCCAATCTAGATGTTCCTTGAATTTGTAAATGTATTTCCTATCTTTTGAGTGTGATTCCTGAGTGATCACTGCAGTTCTGTACGTTGGATTGAATTATGCTGCAACACTGAGTGTAAAAGGTTTAGTCCTGTGTAACTTCATGTGCTTGTTTTGTGCAGGATGGAGATAGCAGATGTATATTTGCGACGTTTAACAAGAAAACAAAAAAAAACTTGATTTTATACATTTTAATTTAAGGCATTACAAAATATTCCTGTGTTGTCAAACAGTTTTTGTTGCTCATATGCAAGTGTATGAAAAAGAAATGTTT